CACTTGTCGGTTCAGCTACGCGGGCCTCAAAGTTTGCAATCCCTAATTCGGTCTAACGACCACGAATATGAGGCAAACGAAATCCTGTAGAGCAGAAAAATACATTTTAAACGGCGTATGACCTAATGTGAGATATGGCATTCGAGAGGAAAAGTTTCCATTAGATAATGAACGACATCCTTAGCGATGCAACTATCATACGAAGACGAGGCCAATACTCTTTCAGTAATCACTACAGGGGTGGCCAAAAAAAGAGACACTTCACTAAACATTCAAAACGGAATTATTTACGCGTTGCGAGACCAAATCACAGCTTATGTCTCTAAAAGCTATTCACAGCCAATCCATTGAAGAAATTATGTAGCAGCTTCAGGCCGGAGCGATTACGGTAAGCCTCGTTGAGCTCGACGGTGACGGCAGATGACGTCATATTCTGAAGACGGCGGGGGCAGTGAAGGAGGGCCTGCTTCTGTTTACGGGGGAACACCTAAGGAATATTCCGCCGTAAAACTTTCATTAACATCGGCTCCCTGTGCGACGAAAAGTTCGATGATGTGCGCCATGGGCTAAGTGTCTTTTTTTGGCCACCCCTGTATATTCGCAATTGGTATTATCCTATTCGAGGACGTCAAAGCACCCGCAAGATAGATATGGTGTATCGATACTGAATTTTGACAAGGGTTTCTATTCAGTGAACGATCATTTGTACCGGCGCTAAAAACCACACTGCTCAAGTAGATGAGAGCTCACCTTTTTTGCTGGATAAACGTGACCGGAGTAATTTGAATAGACATTACAGTGAGCCTTCAGTATTTCTACAGCACTGACCGCTTCACGCACCTTGGCCACCGCAGACTCCATTTGTCGAGTATGAAAAGCGCCACTTACTTCTAATCGCTTCACGACCTTAAACAAGCTTTGAAATGATGGAATACCTGATTGGAGGATAATAACCATTTGACTAGAATGAGAATTCGCAGCAGCGTGCTCGAGGGACCACGCCTCATTTTGGCGCGCCCCCAGTATTCGCTCAAAATCGGGTAAAGTGGTGTCATAAGGCACTTTTTCCATCAATAGTCGGCTTTTGTGATCTACGAGATATAACTACAGTTATAAGTTAACGTATTATATACTGTTGTAAAAAGAATGAGAAGTCCGAAAGGGGAGCTCGGTTTTGAAAGGATGGAGGGTAAAAGCCTCATAATTTGATGTTTGCAGTGGAATTTTTGATACACTAACCTATACATGCGTCCAAGGACTATAAAAAGTTGAAGAAGGCTTGAAAGATGATCGATGCGCGCGATAGCGGTCGGAGCGAAACTGGTGAAAAGATATATCGAAGAAAACTGAAGAAGAATTTTTCCGAAACATTTTTACACTTTTTTAGCGTTTAATGGCATGCCTCAAGATCGATCTTGCAAGAACTACATCAGTTCGATCCTGGAGGCATGCCTCTAAATCGTTGCAGGAGTGAAAAATACGAAGACATGATACGAAGGTGGCAAATGGACGGGAAGTATGAAAAAAGGAGGGACATTTGTCTGTGATCTTTGTATCAGGGCTTGTTCACTTGTAATGCGGCTGTGTTAAGGCAATGAGAGAATGAGCGCAAGAGGAAAGGAAGAGGCAAGCAAATAATCCTTGACACATTCAGCAAGCATGGCTTCTTGCGAAACGAATTATGTGCTTGAGTATACAAAGCAGACTTTAAAACAGATTCGCACCAAGAGCAGAAGCCTGCTCTGTGAGCTAGCTGTTAAAAAGTGCAAATCAAATCTGTCTATGCAAATCTGAGTATAAGAAGAGAATTTTTCCTACTTCGAAAAAGTGTAAAAAAAAAGCAAAAGATTTCGACTTCGCATCACGCGGCAGGTGCTTTCCCTCGAAATTCTCAGTGGAGGTATTGATATCCACACATAGTAAAAGGAACGAATTCGAGCCAGAGTCAACCCTGCGTTGCGCAGTTCTCAACGGCCACGTTGCGCAGTTTCGCCCGATTAGACACGTTCTCTCGCGCGAACATTCACACTCGCATGCTCGAGCCGTCTGTGTCTCCGCCCATACAGCGTGCGTTGAGGATCTCTCAACGTGCCGTTGCGAACTGCGCAACGCAGGGTTGACTCTGATTCGAGCCCTGTCAACAACGACAGACTCAACTTTTCCTGCCCTCCTGTCTTCTGATTAACGGCACCGAAATTTTTATTGACGGATCGCCAAAACGCATGTCTACACCAAGGGGATGAGAATCAATCAAAACCTCACCGTGAACTTGTACTTTTCTTGATTCTCTTCTAAGAATCGTAAGCAGGTTTCACTAGCTCCAACAACTCGAACTCCACAGAATAAGTAATTAGCTACTTCGCAAATATCCATTTCGCCTTTTTCCCTGAAAACTAAATGCCGTAAGTGAACAGGAGACTGCATCGATTTTTCTCACAACCCCATTGTATAATATTAAGATCACGGGTCATCATCAACCGGTGTGTGATTCTGCTCGAAAATGAAACACCGTGCTGAGGTCGCGTTTGAAGATTAGGATTGTAGACGATAGGGCACTGGAGTAGTAAGATATCAGGATATTCAGCTGCAAAGGTTAGACACGCTCAGACGAATAGTAATGTGTACCATCATTGCAACGTAATCTTCTGATTACCACTATCCTGATCTCCTACCATCCTACTACCCTAATCTTCTAAAGTAATCGCACACGGCATGACTTCATCTCACCCATAAATCAGTGGCTTGAGACCCATTATTCACGAAAAGTCGCCTGACACGTGGCCAAACCAAAGCCCACTTCTTTTCAAGCCTTCCCTCGTTGCACCCGACCTACACGCGACCGCTTCTAAAGTATGGTTTTCGTAAATTGTTCCTCTTCGAAATTGAATCCTCTTGCGTGAAACTTTATACCTTGCCTCTAGTGATCGCAAATGACATGCTCGTGTTGGGGAAGAATGCATGACTTTTCCGTGATTCCTTCAATATCGTAATTCACCTCTATCAGGCGACTTCAATTGATAGGGATTTGATTTTCCCATCAACATCGTCTGATCTACTACTATTCTTATCAGCTACTGTCCTAATATCCCTATAGATAGGATTTTTCCACTGTCGTCTACGAACCTAACCCCGAAACGCCAGCTATACACAATGCTTAACAAGGGAAGGAAGGTAGGTAGAAGTGGCGATTTGAAATGGCATGCATATCACCTGAGAGACCTTCGGTTGCGGACTTTAAATCTGCATTTCGTTCTGCTGAACGATTCTCTGGAGAGCTGCAGACCTTGCTGTGATACGGAGCACATACATGTTCAGCAGGAATACAATACACATGCGAAGGTTGGATGTGGAATCGTTGGTCAGTTAAATAATATGCAGGTCACGTGTCAGCAAAGGCAAGGGTTTGGTTCCTTGAAGTGCAGGATTTTTTGCAGCTTTCCAGAGGTGTGCTCAATGTGTTTTCCAGCCGCTTTTGCACGTTCAGGAAACCATACCTTACCTTCGCGATAATTGCTCTTCGCAAGAACATAGGACCTTTCAGATAATTGAGTCTCAGTTTCTTCTGATCCTCCTTTCTTTTACTCGTCAAACAAGCTAAATCTCTAAATTTGCTGGAATCTGTACACAGATTAGATGATGATGTATATTGAGGAGAAGTCTCATAATCATTTGGCATAAGAAGCCTCGTACCCTCCTTCTTCAGAGGAACCAGTGCATGGGTGAGTAGCCTCAAAGAGGACTCAAGAACTAGCTCCTTGACGCATTCACTAGGTGTTCCCGCGTCAAAATAATGCGATAATCGTGTCAGTCATAGTCGGACGGGAGAGGGTGGTTTATTTGGCCGACGGGAGAAGGGTTCGCATCCGTACAAGTCAACGTCGCAATGGGTGGTATGACGAAATGAAACGCAGATTGAATAAAGCTCTAGGCTCAGGTTAAACATATTGTCCGGAGCAATAATCGTCGTCGAGGGTCGAATCTCCACACTGAGCGGCCGAACAGAAGAGCGATTGCATGGCCGAAAGCAACGTTGGTTTGAGCACGGACCAAGCACTGGAGTCGCGGTGCCATCCTTAGAAAATAACTGGTCAAAGTCCATCTGCCGACAACTGCGACATGGTTTACGATAGAAGTGCACGGAAAGTTTATCTTCTCAGCGGTAAGATTGTTGTGGAAGTTGTGACGTTATGATAGCGGCCGAAGTTCTTGTAGAGAAACGACGATTTATGTAAATTGGCTCAAGATTCGCTTTATCCATGTACATTACATCAGGCTAGAAAAGTGAGCTAAGCGTCGAAATATCGCTATGTACAAAGTAAAACACTTGGAATCATTTTTACAAGAAGTCTGAAATATGGGCAGAGCTTTCGCCCTCGGAGGGATTCGAACCTGCATCACCGCTTACCGAGCAATTGTACATTTGAATAACTCAAATCGCATTCAAAGGAGGGTCTCACGAGAAAGTTGAAGGTCGAAGAAGGGGAACTTACCTAGTTAAAAGAGAGGCGGATCCTCCAAGGGTCGGACCACGCAAAACGCAGCGAAGGATGTGCCCCCCAACGATCTAGCATGACCGTCTCCGCGTTGCTACCGTCGCAGCACGTCCACCAACTGCCAATTAGATCTCTAGCCGTTTGGCATAGTGATAGCGTTGGAGAGGGCAGCAGCGACTCAGATCCCCAGAAACGGGATCCTCTCTTCGCCCGTTGAGAGTCGCATCAATGCTGACCTCAACGGGCAAGGAAGGAATCCCACTTTTCGAAATCTGGACCGATTCTCATGGCTTTTTCTTCATCTCGGCACCAGCAACCACCTCTACCATAGTTCCCATTGGCTACCTCATAATCGAAACTCCGCTATAACACTCACCAGAAGTGTTAGGTTTCAAAGCAAAGAGATTACTCAAACACTGAATAGACTGTGGCGAATATCCAAAGCGCACAAGAAACATTCCCTCGTCACTGTTCTCCGATCACTGCGAACAATGTGCACAAGAGCTATTAGCCCCTTCGGTATGCATTGCATCTACTAACTCAAACCTCGACAATTCTCTAGCCTCGAACATAGCTTCATCGAGGCGAGACGAGGCATTCACTCTAACTGTCATCATTCCACTTCGGATCAGTTGATTGCACTCATGCATTGCCTGAGCCCGCACGACGACGACACGCAGAGCTAAAAAATTAGATTTGAGCAAACCGTCGATACGTTGAAGGCAGCACACAGACAGCATAATGGTAATCAAATGTGAAAGAAAAGGTGGTAAATGGTGCGACAACACAATAAGCCGTGAACACACGAGAATTGCGCCACTTGTTTTCCCTGTTGGTTTCAGACGAGCTCACGGATTGAACGACGGTCGTTTCGTTGAGAGTAAAGAAGACGACAAGTTTGCAAAAGATGGCCATTTGATGCGAATGCGCACTCAAAATGAAAACCAACGCTGGTTACAGCCATCGCTTTTCATTGTGAAGATTAAACACGTTTAGGTTCGGATCGTCACCGAAGGGGTTCCAACCAGGGCCAACCCTATCGTTGGTACTTTTGGAATTTTCTACGACTCCCCTGTCATGAGCGATTTGGTACGACCCTCTGTGTGTAATACTTGTGTGCAAGAGGAGGGAATCTTCTGGATGCGTGGAGCATTTCGCTTAAACCTTTACACCCACCCCGGAGCAGGGTCGAGCGTGCGTTGAGGATGAATCGACACGTCACAGGGAGGGAGGGGGGGTGCATTGGCCCGCTAGAAGAGATCAAGCCAGGTTGATGCAGCAGCGCCACCACCATCGCAGAAGAAACTACAAAGATCGAATCGATAAAGAAATCCGAAACCCGCACGTTTTCCAGGGATATTTTATTTTCAAGTGAGTCCTCGAATCTGAAGGGATGTGAAGCACACGGCGCATCCCAGAGTGGGCCCAGTTGGTTGCGCGCGCTTCAACTACGGCTCTCTTGAAAGAATCTCAATTCAGGAAAAATCAAGAGGATTCTGAAAGTGTTCGTGCGCAATTACAGGGAGGATTCCACTTTCAAACAAGAAATGGAGCCTTCAGATGTCGTTCAGACTCTGCGATTGCATCGTGCGATGCAGTCGCTCTGCCAAAAATGCTAAAAAAAAACGAGGTCGTCGACCATTTCCGCATCGAAAATAAACATATGGAGAAGCCAACTCATCTTACCATTAAACATTGAAAAAAAGTTCATAATAAAGGCCGCTCAATGGGTAAGCGTCACGAAAGAGCTCGTTTTTATAATAGGAGGAAGGTGATAACTGGGATTAAGAAAGTAGTTTTACTGGGTAGGAAGGCACTTCCAATGCAGAGACTAGTATAGGTTTTACATTCGGGTTACCTTGATATATGGGAGGATATCGCAGCTGATGGATGGGTCCCAAAAAAGGACCACTAGTCGTCAGCAGAAGGAGCTTCGATGGCGGACCTCAAATTGTGTGGGCTGCGTTATGCGGCGATGCTGCACTCTCTCTGGCTCCTGCATTGCGTGGAACGGACTCCATCGACTACGGGGATGCTGTTGCTAATCATTTACAGCCGTTCCTATGCGTAATCCCATCTTCATTCACGGCAACGCCGCCACCGCACCTGATCAGCCAAGCAGCGCCTATCGTCAATGAAGCAATTATATGGGTTGGCCCGTGTACGCTTCGGATCCAATCCCTTCAGAAAATATCTGAAGTCATAGGGAAGCGAAATAAGTTGCTGGCAAGCAGCAAAAAGCCGAGGAATACTCCAGTGCACTATTGTGAGGTCGCGGTACCATCCGGATACTGTTCTTCTGTTGAAAGCTCAAATAGTTCGAGCAAATTGAGAAGAAGGTATGCTTCCACTAACGATAAGCATGCCTAAAGATTCATATGAGTAAACAGGAAGAAATTTTTTCCAAGTCCACTTAGCCGGGGTATCCCTATACTTTTGAAGCAGGGGCATTTCACTTTCTTGTAAAAATTCCTCAAGGCCACGTTGTTCTCTGGAACTGGATGGACTGTGGTCCCAGCGCATGCTAAATCAATAAACTAGGTGATAAGTCATAGATCCTCCAACATAACATAAACAACAGTTTTTAGGGGCGCTCCTACACTTTTCAAATGCACTGCACTTCCCTATTGCAGAGCGTACTCACTTCCTTCAAATGTGCTCAGCTCAGGCCAAACCTAGAAAATGAAATCCACCAATTCACTCACCGTCTTCAAAACTGAGGATACCACCCGCGACAAGGGCGGCAAATTCGCCCACACTGAATCCAGCCGCGTCGGTGATACGGTCAGCATATGAATCATCAATGGTCTTGAATTTCTCCAGTGCTGCCACAGATGAAACAAATACCGCTGGTTGACAATATAGGGTCTGATCAAGCCTACATAACATTCATGTTTAACTAGAGAATAGAAAAATCCCACAATGCAATATTTTGTAACTAAACTCACTTATTTTTCGGGCCTTCAATGCACAACTTCAGAACATCGTAACCCAAAATCTCGGAAGAGCGGTCGAAAATCTCCTTCGCTCTGGAGCAGTCGACTAACTAAACACTGAACCGTAGTTTCAAATCTGAGCTCTAGCAAATACTGCCGAAGTTCTAGTTGCTGAAAAAAACTCACTTTGCTCCCCATGCCAACGTACTGTGCACCTTGCCCTGGGAACAAGCATACAATCTGGTCCTCTATTGGAATGTGGTCGAATACAATTCCATGTGCAGCCTTCTTTTTGTTACCATACCTAGGAAGCAATTTTACTGATAGTTTGTGCATTAGTAGCAAGCATGAATCGATGCCCGCGAAGCATTCTCCAGAAGTGGTTTGGGTTCATCACTGAGATTTACAGCGTCGCACCAGATTTCTTTCTCACCAGAGCCAGCCGGTCGGAAGCTCCGAGAAACATTCCATCGCCCCTATGCGTAGGTCAGGCGATCACGTTGAAACCATGGGTCGGGATTAGGTGCCAAAAGCCACCCCTCACCGTGAAGGGGGGGGGGTCATTAGCGCAGGAGGCGCGAAACTGTCGAAGTTACTCCGTCGTATCAAGACCGACCTCACAAGGAGACTTTCAATGCTTTCCACGGCTCATTCTGCTTTTTCTATTCACTTACGTTCCTCACCGCACTTCTTCTCATTTTCAAGCGAAATATTACGTTGTGTAGAAATGATCCGCCGGTTTTTAGGCTCACAACTCCTCGATTTTTTTTTGCTGATTATTTTTGAAGATTGGATGTAGCCTAGAAATGCGCAATCTGCTGAACATTTTGTTTACAACACTTGTGCATTTTGCTTGCTATTGAGATTACACGCGAGCAAAAGGAATGCTCGTTGCCTGAATAAAAGCCAAGCTCGAAACGAACGTTGCTGCATTTGCTCGTAGAACCAACGAAGCCTGGGGTGTAGGCCTACTTGCAGTGAGGAGTTGTCGATAATATTTGTTGGTTAATAATTTGGTGAAAACAGCGGACGAGTTCCGCTTAACCTAACAATGCATTCGTTCGATCTTATTCAGTTTCTTTGAGCAAATTTAGGAGCATGTACAGCGAAGAAACTTTCAGTTCTCGCCATAGGTAGGGCCACCAAAGCTACACGTTGATTGAAGCCTGAAATTAAGATGAGGCTCATGCTTGTGCTTATGCTCACACAATTTGCTTGAAGGCAGACTCCTTGAGAAAATAGGTGTGGATGAGGGCGCAGTAGTGAAGCTGGAGGTGGGAATGGACCGGAAAAGAAGAAAGCAAGAAAAACCCTCGAATTTGTCCGAAAAGGACCTCCTCTATTTCAACCGCGCTCCGCTTTGAGATAGAGAAGTGGAGTGTCGGACCCTTGAACCCAGCTCCTCGAACCTAACTGCGCTCGATCCAGTGCCAATGACGTTGAAGCGCAATGCACCCGCTGCTGCAACTGCGCCCGTACTTCTCTCTCAGCGTCGGGGATAAACAAGTGGACGTGCCTAATCATACAACGTGCCTTTGAGCCTTAGCTCAGACTTAGGCTAGCCACGAGCAAATTGGGGGTGCTCTATATCGTAGTGAGGTGACCTGGTTATGAAGACACAAGAAAAAACCATACACAGCTCTATCCTCCCCCTCTCACTGGAGAGACCTCCACACAATCTTCTCTTTCATTCTGTTCCACATATATCACCGAAAGAATATTCGGTACCTGCGCGCAGTCATATCCGTGCCAAAAGTAGAGCACTTTGCATTTCTCAGACAATAAGTGTTGCAGCGGCAGAGACGTTTCTATCTACAGGCGGAAATTGTCATGACACTTCAAAAAAAGTCGACTACGTGGTTCCATTTTCTACTTATTTTCCTTTCCATTTTTTATTTTTTATTATCTTTACCTTTTGTCACCCCCAAATATGTTCTCGTCCCACCTATATCACATCAAAAAGGCAACACCTCATTGCAGCTGAGACTGCGTTATGAGCTTTGTGACACACGCATACAACGCTCCTTATCAGCCTCTGTCAGCTCTCTGTTACCATTTTCTGGTCCCCACAAATATGTTTCCGTCCCACCCCTATATCATATCTGCAAAGCAACGCCTCAATGCTGCTGGGCCTTGCGCTGTGAATTCGTGACATTTGCCTTCCAACGCTTCTTATCAGCCCTATCAGCTGTTATCACTTTCTGGTCCCCACCAAATATGTTCCCGTCCCACCCCCTATATCATATCCTGAAATAACTTTTGGCGACAGCTTGGTGCGCACGCTATGAATTCCGGCCAAACACACACACCCAAATACACCAACAGACAGACTTAGCCGATTACATATAGTACCAGATTGGTCCCCTGTCGAGTGCTGGGACCTTCCTTATCTGCGTAGGTTTTACGGCTTCCGCGTGGTCCCTGTCACCTATGACAACAATACCTCGTGGTGGTGAGGCGTATGCAAGTAAAAGAGTTTAATATATGTAGTAGAAGACATCACCATAGTCATGATATTACGGTAGAATGATATGTCAATACCTAACTGCACCATAGGTCAGTAAGCGAATGTTTTCCGATTCCCTTACCCATCATCTCTCCTCCCTCCACTGCCCTCCAGCTGCCACTGCAGCACCATGTGGAATGAACGGAAGTGTGCTAAGCAGGTTTATATAGCCCTAAGAGTGTTATCACAACTATCCTGCTACAAAACATTGATATCTCAAATCCTGTAAGCTACCCGATTTGTTAGCGGTTTGTTTATTCCATGAGCTTCCTTCTCACTCACTTCATTTTGCGGACTGGACAGACGGGCATACAAACCGACACACTGAACTTCTGGTTGATATAATGAAGTGATATAGAATACGTAACTCGAGAGAAAGGCTTACAAGAGTTAGGATGCCTAACTTCTGACGGGTACGGTCAAATTGAACTGAAAGCAAAGATATATGCCCAACGATGTTTTGATTTCGTGATAGGCTTCATTTATCCATCCCCTGATCAAGAATTATTTTGCCCTTAGTATTGTGCTGTCCCGGAGCCTCATCAGGACCTAAATTTGTTTAACACAGAGAAGCTCCAAAAGTTTTATTCCAAAAGAATTCCAAAAGTTCACAAAAGTCCAAATACTCCAAAAAACAAGCCAAAAATTTAAAAGAATTCCTTTGGAAACTTCCGCGATATTTCGGTGTATAACACCTTCTTCAGGCATGGATTTGCCTCAGCCAAGGATGAAGCTACCCTTACGGGAGCCGCGCCGATGGAGTAGAACTAATAAAGAACTAGTAAAACGAAAGTACTTCTCACTGTGGAGGAAATGATGAAAGTGTTGACTACCTCCCAGAGGACAAAAAGTTGTCTCGCGTCAAAGAAATCAAAGATCTAGATTTTCTTCATTATGATAAACTCGATTTTACCCAGCACTGCTGACAATTGAGAACATGGCTACTGGGCAGCTACTCAGCCTTGGTTTGTGCACCAAGAATTCTGAGCCCTTGCTGGACGTCTATAAAACTTTGCCAACTACTGCTGTCAAAAGCCTAGCAACTGCCCGAAGAAGAATTTTTTCTACTCCATCGACGCGGCTCCCGTAAGGGTAGCTTCATCCTTGGCTGAGGCAATCCATGCCTGAAGAAGGTGTTATACACCGAAATATCGCGGAAGTTTCCAAAGGAATTCTTTTGAAATTTTTGGCTTGTTTTTTGGAGTATTTGGACTTTTGTGAACTTTTGGAATTCTTTTGGAATAAAACTTTTGGAGCTTCTCTGTGTTGAACAAAATATTTTGCTGTCGAGTCAGTCGTGAAAAAGATTTATAACCGGTCAGTGATAAGCAGCTCAGACATTCAATGGTGGATTTCGCAGAACAGTAAAGCAGTAATTTGATTTGAAGGCACCTGGAATCTCTGCTGCTCAACAGACAAAACCGGGACGTATGATTTATTGCCATTTCCTCCAAACTCACTTGATGCTTCAATCAAAGAGAACCTCCAATAGGAAACAAAGGATATAACAATAAGTATGGGCGCCAACACACAATGCGCAGACTGTCACAAAATTTATGCCAATAAAATATCGTAAAAGTCATCATACTGGAAAAGTGGAAGCATTGTTTGCCCAACTCAAGTCCCATAAAATGCTGCACGTTGAGTGTGTCAAAGACAAAGCGTTACTATAAGTACGATTTTCTTCTTCTTCTTCTCCCTAGCGTTAGTCCCGCGCAGTCGCAGGGTCCGCTGTCTTTGTCAGTCGTCGCCACTTTGCTCTGTCCAGGGCATCTTCTGTGGCCGTGACTTCACTTAGGTCCTTCTTGATTACGTCTTTCCACCTCTTCTTTGGGGCTCCTCGCGGTCGCTTGCCTTGCACTTCGAAGTCCATCGCTGTTCTTATCGGATGGTCCTGTGGCCTCCTTAGCACATGCCCATACCATCGCAGACGCTGTTCCCGTACCTTCAGCTGGACAGGGGCAGTCTGCATGACCGCTCTGACATCCTCGTTTCTGACCCTGTCCAGCCGCGTCCAGCCGCAGGCCCACCTCAGCATCCTCATCTCAGCGGAGTGAAGCTGCCTTTCGTGGTTCTTGTTCAGGGGCCAGCACTCGCTGCCGTTCCCTTTGAGCGTTCTGGAGCACCTTCGATCGCAGAGGATTCCAGTGGACTCCCTCCATTTCATCCATGCAGCGTTGACCCGAGCCTTCACCGCCTGATCCACACTACCGTCGGCTGCCAGATCGCTCCCAAGGTATCGGAAGTCCTCCACCCTTTTGATGGTCTCACCATGGCCGTCCATGATCGGCTCCGCCCCCTCTTCGGAGCTCAGGAAATTGGTCTTCTTGACATTCAGCCGTAGCCCACCTTCCGCCTTTCAGGACTTTCTGTCATTTCTGCGCCTTGGCTTGAAGTTCCTCTCTACTATCAGCTGTCAAGG